GTTCTGTTCTGTTCTGTTCTGTTCCGTTCCGTTCCATTCCATTCCATTCTATTTATCCAATGGCCAAGGAAGCAGCAGAACTTCTCACATGTGGACCCAACTCTTGAGACTATCCTTGAGTGTCTTCTTCTGCTGAAGGAGGTGCATCTTCAGTGCATCTAAAAACCTGGGTTATCGTTTCATTTCCTTCTGGCAAGTCATAAACTAAGTCATTCCCTGCCAACTTTATAATGCAGTTGTCCAGCTGGTTCTGAAAGGAGAGCTTTAAATTGTTTCTGGGTCGGGGGTTCCCTACCATCCTAATTCTAAGAGATGTTTAAGACTGAGGTCCGATTTGAATGACCTTTTTCTCCATTTCTCCTCTGACGTTCAAATCCGGTGTGAATCTTAAGGATGGCTTTGGAAAAGGTTCACTCCAGACCCTTTTTTCTCCTTTGGCTCCTCTTCCCTGATTTTTTTCTTTGTTCAAAACACTCAAAACACAACATATTTTAAGAAAAAAAAGGGAGGGGTGCTTAAAAGTATTTCCCTCCCAATGCTTTGCCCGGCCTTGCGTAACAAGTCACATGACACTGGAATGGAGTTGAGTAGTTTATGGTTTAATGAGCCAGATCATCACACTAAGCTGGGATATTATTTTTATTTTCATTTTGTGGTTTGCGAGGACACCTTAGGTGAGCCCAGGAGTTCTATTTTGTTAACCTGATGTAAGGTTTGAATGTTGTGTGAATGGAACCATCTGGTGAGCTACAGTGAAGGAAACCTGGTATTTGGGGAAGGAAACCTAGAGATGAACAACATTTTGGTGTCCAAAGGACGTACAAGGCAGGTTTTGGAGACGTTTGGAAGGTGTGTTCCCTTCTTTATTTAATGGAACAGGCTTGTTGTAGGATTTTTAGCTCTCTTTTCATGAGGTTTCTCCTTCAGAAAGGGGAGAAATGGCTGTTGGTTTTCAGTGGTCGTGGTTAACGGGGTTTCCCAAGACTGCAAAGAGGAAACTCAGTTGGAAGCTCCCACCACCGTAGACAATTCTGGATTCAGTCAATTAATAACCTATTCTAATGACCTATATGAATCATGGTAAACATACCTGAGTTTCATAGTAAATGGAGCCAAGGAAGAAGATAGGATGATCAGAATGATGATGATTTATTAAAGTTGTGTGCCAACCAATTCTCTCAATGACTCTGGGCAGCTCACAACAATCAAAGTTTGATAAAATCAATAAAACATTAAAAAAAAATCTTTCCAGCCTCAAACTGGTATAGTCCAATGCTGTCTTCCTGCGTGGTGGTCCACCTAGATGATCTGGCCTCTCTCTCTCTCTCTCTCTCTCTCTCTCTCTTTCAGTCTGGCCATCTTTTTTTTTAATATAACTTTTTATTGCTTTTTAATTAATAACGAAAAAGAAAAAAAGTCTCAGTCATCTAAATGCAACAAAATTTAAGGGAGGCCATAAAATAAGAGCTTGATTGGAGTGGGGATTCTGGAGCTGCAATCCCCGATCATCTAGGTGGACCTTCTGAAATCTTAGTTCCACCTAGCGGCTGCTGGGTCTACAATCCCATTACTTGATCTAAAATCCCAGCTTCCAACTACTTCTGTTAGGTGTCTGGAAAGGGGTTAAAACTCTGCTCCAGCAGATGGATGGGTCATGAGGTAGTTCTGTTTTGCAGTGGTGATGCCTTTGTTCATGCCGTTTTATGGTTCCTTGGCTAGGAACTGCACTGGATGGAAGGTTGCACCTATTTTTTTCCTTGTTTTTATTGAGAAAAGTAGAGTATATAAACAGCTC